GGCTAGACACACACCTGTAGGGCCAGGCGAGGCTAGACACACACACCTGTAGAGCCAGGCGAGGCTAGACACACACCTGTAGGGCCAGGCGAGGCTAGACACACACCTGTAGGGCCAGGCGAGGCTAGACACACACCTGTAGGGCCAGGCGAGGCTAGACACACACCTGTAGGGCCAGGCGAGGCTAGACACACACCTGTAGGGCCAGGCGAGGCTAGACACACACACCTGTAGGGCCAGGCGAGGCTAGACACACACCTGTAGGGCCAGGCGAGGCTAGACACACACACCTGTAGGGCCAGGCGAGGCTAGACACACACACCTGTAGGGCCAGGCGAGGCTAGACACACACACCTGTAGGGCCAGGCGAGGCTAGACACACACCTGTAGGGCCAGGCGAGGCTAGACACACACACCTGTAGGGCCAGGCGAGGCTAGACACACACACCTGTAGAGGCAGGCGAGGCTAGACACACACACCTGTAGAGCCAGGCGAGGCTAGACACACACACACCTGTAGAGGCAGGCGAGACAGACACACACACCTGTAGAGCCAGGCGAGGCTAGACACACACACACCTGTAGAGCCATGCGAGGCTAGACACACACCTGTAGAACCAGGCGAGGCTAGACAGACACACCTGTAGAGCCAGGCGAGGCTAGACAGACACACCCACACCTGTAGAGCACGGCGAGGCTAGACACACACACCTGTAGAGCCAAGCGAGGCGAGACAGCAGGAGGACGGGAGTCGCTCCCTGTAGAGCCAGTAATGCATGACACGACTCCCACCACCGCCGCAGATCACCTCTGATAGTATTGTTCCTCTGGCGTAACTCTTAACTGCTGCCCTCAGCCACCCTCCGCCCTCCCTGCAGGCCGCTTCTATCCCGGTACCCGAGCCTCACACACGCCATCCCTTCCCCACCAGCCATCCCCCAACACCACCCTATCCACCATCGTCCTTCGCTGAGGAAGGACGAGAGGGACAGTGTCTAGGAATGAGTGTACACCGGATAGGGACCGGGTATGTACACCGGATAGTCTTGGGTATTATACAGGACCGTCCGAGGGTCAGAACGAGTACAATCGGGTCTGGGTGGGTGGGGCGGTGCGGGTCGAGTGCCTCCACCACTCCTGCTGTTGTTCACCGAATATCAACATCATTTACATTTACGAGTGAACAGTCAGATGAGTAAATTTACAGATAACTAGTGTACAGCGGCCGACAGATGTGTAGGAGGATTTTCCACTGGAGGACCTGAATTGACTTTCAAAATGGAATGAAAATTGGCATAATGCTGACGATTCTTGAAGCATTTATAGAATTGTGGTTCGAACAGAGGACGTGAGCGAAGCGCTTGTTCCGGACGTGTTCGGACGGCGTTAGTTGTGAGTCGTGTGTAAACCGCTTTTCATTCATAAACAGCTGGGGTTTGGCCGGTGCATGGAATGGAGTTTGGCCTTTGTTTTATGAGGACGGGCAGGGTGATTACTTCGTGGGTGAAACATTTACAGCATTATGGTTCGAACAAAATGTCGTCAGTTGCACTTGTTCGAGAAGTGATCGAACGTCGTCAGGTGTGAGTCGTGTGTAAACCCCCCCCCCCCCCCCCCCCACACACACACACATGGTGGAAGTGATGTGGAAGGAGGCTAGAAGGATCACTTTAGGAGTGATGTAGTGGAGGCTGACTCCATACACAGTTTCAAATGTAGATATGATAGAGCCCAGTAGGCTCATCTGTACACCAGTTGATTGACAGTTGAGAGGCGGGACCAAAGAGCCAGAGCTCAACCCCCGCAAGCACAATTAGGTGAGTACACACACACACACACACACACCTGGTCCACCAGTAAGCCTGAGTAACTTCACAAGACATTCATCGTCACTGCGACCCGTTGAGGAGGTTTTAAAAATGCGCCACAAAAGCCTAAAAGTCCGAACTCGCCCCATGGACGGCCAGACTTTCACCAAAAGCGACGTCTTGAAGATCCTAGAAGAAGGCGCTGGCATTACACCCATCGAGCTTGGTCAAGAAGGGGAGAATATTGTGCTCTGGTTCTCGTGTGTGGAGGATCTCGAAAAACTCGAGATCCCGCAAATACACACACATATATAGCCCCGCAAATACACACACATATATAGCCCCGCAAATACACACACATATATAGCCCCGCAAATACACACACATATATAGCCCCGCAAATACACACACATATATAGCCCCGCAAATACACACACATATATAGCCCCGCAAATACACACACATATATAGCCCCGCAAATACACACACATATATAGCCCCGCAAATACACACACATATATAGCCCCGCAAATACACACACATATATAGCCCCGCAAATACACACACATATATAGTCCCGCAAATACACACACATATACATATATACACATACACCTACACATATCTATACACATTTTATATATATATATATATATATATATATATATATATATATATATATATATATATTATATATAACTGAAAACTCACACCCCAGAAGTGACTCGAACCCATACTCCCAGAAGCAACGCAACTGGTATGTACAGACGCCTTAATCCACTTGACCATTCAGGCTTGTTCGCATTTGTGTTCCTCACGTGTGCCCAAAGAATGAGGTGATTTGGTAAAATGCTATGCCCAAGATTACTATCCGAGTGCCGGCGGTGGGGTGGTTCAAATAGCTTAGGCTATCACCTCATTATGTCCGGTCGTGATGGTCAGTGGATTAAGGCGTCTTGTACATACCAGTTGCGTTGCTTCTGGGAGTATGGGTTCGAGTCACTTCTGGGGTGTGAGTTTTCAGTTATATATATATATATATATATATATATATATATATATATATATATAACTGAAAACTCACACCCCAGAAGTGACTCGAACCCATACTCCCAGAAGCAACGCAACTGGTATGTACAAGACGCCTTAATCCACTTGACCATCACGACCGGACATAATGAGGTGATAGCCGAGGCTATTTGAACCACCCCACCGCCGGCACTCGGATAGTAATCTTGGGCATAGCTTTTTACCAAATCACCTCATTCTTTGGTTTTGTGAGTTTGTGGTGTGAGTTTTCAGTTGCATATTGTCCTGGGGACCATTCAGGCTTGTTCGCATATATATATATATATATATATATATATATATATATATATATATATATATATATATATATATATATATATATATATATATATATATATGTCGTACCTAGTAGCCAGAACGCACTTCTCGGCCTATTATGCAAGGCCGGATTTGCCTAATAGCCAAGTTTTCCTGAATTAATAAATTTTCTCTAATTTTTTTCTTATGAAATGATAAAGCTACCCATTTCATTATGTATGAGTCCATTTTTTTCTATTGGAGTTAAAATTAACGTAAATATATAACCGAACCTAACCGACCCTACCTAACCTAACCAATCTTAACCTAACCTAAACTAACACTATTAAGTCAATAATTTATGTTCTTAATATAATATAATAATAATAATTCAAATAAACTAATTGAAAACAATTTATTGAAAATAAAGAAAATCACTCGGCCTATTAGGCAAATCGGGCCTTGCATAGTAGGCCGAGAAGTGTGTTCTGTCTACTAGGTACGACATATATATAATATATATATAAATATATAATATATACACACTCACACACACATACACTTATGTCTCTCCTACTTTAACAGGGTAAGATAGCTTCTAGTGTGATATTTAACACTTAACAACTGAAGGTGATTAAGATGCTTTTACAAGCTCAGGTTATAGGTACATGCATTGTTAACAGATGTATTCCATATTGTATAGGTACAATACATTGTATAACAGATGTATTACATAGTCAGTCTTGGGTACAAGTCCAATATATCATCAAGAGTTCCAGTACTCATATAGTAGTTACAGAGTTCAGCATACCTCAGCCCAGGAGGGCGAAAGTCAGTCAATATGAGACATTCTACAATATAATGTTCAAGGGAGTGCATGTTTTCTCTTTCACAAAGGTGACACATGGTGTATTGGACACTTTCACAAAGTTGACACATGGTGTATTGGACACTTTCACAAAGTTGACACATGGGGTGTATTGGACACTTTCACAAAGTTGACACATGGGGTGTACTCGACATTTGGGTTTTGAGAAAGCTGGCAGATACGTCTATATCCCAGGTGTATTCTGGCCACTATAACATCACATTGCCGGGTTCTTGTTCTATTAGTCCCATATGTGAATGTCTCCTCACCATATTTATTATAATATTTAATGCTACAACTTTCAGGTCTTTGTGAGTGTGTGAGGCCAGTATGATGTTCATTAGATATTTGTTAAAGTATTCTCTTTGTCACTGCTAATGAAATACCTGCGGGAGAGAGAAGGAGAGGCCTGTGTGGGAGGGAGACATGGAGGGAGGGAGAGAGGGAGAGAGGGAGAGAGAAGGAGGGAGGGAGAGAGACATGGAGGGATGGAGGGAGGGAGAGAGGGAGAGAGAAGGAGGGAGGGAGAGAGACATGGAGGGAAGGAGAGAGGCCTGGAGACATGGAGGGATGGATGGAGGGAGGGAGGGCTGGAGGGCGCAACATGGGAGGAGGGCAGTAAATCACCGCCACCACGGAACACTTGGGCAGGCAGGAGCTGCGCAGTCTCAACTTCACTTGTCTTGGTCGCCACTTTGCTGCGAAAATAACCAGGCAATCACAGCACCGGGGCAAGGTTAGCGCCCAGTCACCCCTGTGTGTGTGTGTGTGTGTGTGTGTGTGTGTGTGTGTGTGTGTGTGTGTGTGTGTGTGTGTGTGTGTGTGTACTCACCTAGTTGTGCTTGCGGGGGTTGAGCTCTGGCTCTTTGGTCCCGCCTCTCAACTGTCAATCAACTGGTGTACAGATTCCTGAGCCTACTGGGCTCTATCATATCTACACTTGAAACTGTGTATGGAGTCAGCCTCCACCACATCACTGCCTAATGCATTCCACCTGTTAACTACTCTGACACTGAAAAAATTCTATTTGTCTCTGTGGTTCATTTGGGTATTCAGTTCCCACTTGTGTTCCCTTGTTCGAGTACCACCCGTCTTAAATAATCTGTCCTTATCTATCCTGTCGATTCCCCCTGAAAATTTGATATGTGGTGATCACATCTCTTACTCTTCTCTCCTCAAGCGACGTGAGATGAGCGTTTCCTCATAATTCATACCTCGCAATTCTGGAACTAGTCTTGTGGCATACCTTTGAACATTAACTTCGCTTTATGCTTGACAGCCTGGACTCCAGGCTGGAGCTGCATATTCCAGGATTGGTCTGACATATATGGTGTACAAGGTTCTAAATGATTACTTACACAAATTTCTAAAGGCAGTTGTGATGTTAGCCAGCCTCGCATACGCTGCTGATGATATTCCTTTGATGTGGGCTTCAAGAGACAGGTTCGACATGATATTAACTGCATGATACGTCCCATTCGGTACCTTGTGTCTGGCTTCCTACTTCTTCCACCTAGCTTCATTACTTTGTATTTTCTGGAGTTAAACTCTAGTAGCCATTTGTTGGACCATTCCTTCAGTTTGTCTAGGTCATCTTGTATCCTCTTGCTATCTTCCTCTGTCTTAATACTCCTCATAATTTTTGCATAATCAGCAAACATTAAGAGGAACGAGTCTATTCTCTCTGGGAGATCGTTTACAAATATCAGAAACAGTATAGGTCGAAGGACTGATCCCTTTGGGACTCCACTGGTGATGCCTCGCCAGTCCGAGACCTCATCCCTCACAGTGACTCGCTGTCTTCTATACCTTAGTTCTTATCTATACCTTACACCCTTATCTAGTGGTGTGCTTTCTCTTTTATTCCTGCCTGCATCTCCAGCTTATGCACTAGTCTCCTAAGTTTTATGTCTCCTAAGTTTTATGTCTCCTAAGTTTTATGTCTCCTAAGTTTTATGTCTCCTAAGTTTTATGTCTCTTAAGTTTTATGTCTCCTAAGTTTTATGTCTCCTAAGTTTTATGTCTCCTAAGTTTTATGTCTCCTAAGTTTTATGTCTCCTAAGTTTTATGTCTCCTAAGTTTTATGTCTCCTAAGGAGTACTGTGTTAAAGGCTTTCTGCCAGTCCAACAATATGCATTCTACCACCCTTCCCTTTCTTGCCTAATTTTTTGTCACCTGGTCATAGAATTCAATTAATCCTGTTAGGCAAGACTTGCCACCCATGAACTCATGTTGGTGGTGTGTAACAAAGTTCTTTCGCTCCAGGTGTTCTGCAACTTTTTTTCGCACAATCTTCTCCATCACCTTGCATGGTATGCAGGTTAGGGACGCAGGCCAGTAGTTCAGTGACTCCTGTCTGTCCCCCTTCTTATATATCGGGACTGCATTAGCTGTCTTCCAAATTTATGGCAGTTCTCCTGTTACCAGTAATTTGTTATATACCACTGAAAGTGGACGACGTAGTGCTTGGGCTCACTCTTTTAGTACCAGTGGTGAGATTTCGTCTGGGTCAACAGCTTTTGACACATCTAAGCAAATGTTTCCTTATCTCCCCGCTGGTAATCTCAGAGTCCTCCAGTATTGTGCTCACCTAGTTGTGCTTGCGGGGGTTGAGCTTCGGCTCATCGGTCCCGCCTCTCAACCGTCAATCTACTGGTGGACAGATTCCTGAGCTTCTCGAGCTCTATCATATCTACATTTGGAAATGTGTATGGAGTCTGCCTCCACCACATCACTTGTGGTGGAGGCTAATTTCCAATTAAAGGTAATTGTTGTGTGTGTGTGTGTGTGTGTGTGTGTGTGTGTGTGTGTGTGTGTGTGTGTGTGTGTGTGTGTGTGTGTGGTGTGTGTGTACCTAGCAGGCTGTGTGTTTCGCAATTAGCATGCCTCCCAGTACCTAGCAGGTTTCAAGTAGCCTAGCATGCCTCCCAGTACCTAGCAGGCTTCCAGTAGCCTAGCATGCCTCCCAGTACCTAGCAGGCTTCCAGTAGCCTAGCAGGCTTCAAGTAGCCTAGCACGCCTCCCAGTACCTAGCAGGCTTCCAGTAGCCTAGCATGCCTCCCAGT